CACACATATACAATCGCACACAAGGTAAGTACACACGAAACAAATTCAGACGGTCCGTAACCATTATTTGTGTATTCGAAAATGTTTGTTTGCTTTGCAATTTGGTTTGTTTGTTTGTATGATAGGCATGCATGCACTTAGGCATTTAAGTTTCGTGGTCGCATGCCTCTAAGTGCGCACACCGCGTTTTATTGCATTTCAGGGAAACTTAGGTACGTAAGTACTGTTCTGAGGCTATAAAAATATTGCATGTCGACTTGTTCGCAAATTAAAATTTAAGCAGATTTTTTGATTGTTACCTACAAATTAAATTTATAAAAGTTAAAACGAAATAAAAATTAACGAAATACCCCCTGCAATCATTTTGAAATTTGTTGTGTGACTCTATCATTTATATATAGTCGAAACACTGTGCGACGTCGTGATATCTTAAAATTTTTTTTGAAACTTTAGGGATATGTTTTATTCAAATGATTATTTAAACAATTTAGCTAAATGTAGAATAAAAAATTGGGAATCAAATAAATGCGAAAATTCCGTAGGAATTAACGAAATTAAATTTTTTGTTGCACAAGAACAAAAAAATATCGAGAATATCATTTTAAATAATTTATTTACATGGTTCGAGGATGTGGTAGTGTACACATTAGTACTTAATTTTTTTTTAACAAGTTATTGGAAATTTTCAAGAAAATTCAAGAATGAAATTTTAAATCGACATTATCAATTCCTACTTGGCATTGGCCAACAAAATATTAAATTAGAATTTTCATCTTTATCTGATACCTACATACGGTTACTCCCAAAATTGAGCGTACGGCTCTTTTCTGTTTTACATGCTAAAATTTTTTTGTTAATTTTGTGTTAAAACATAGCTTATGTTTTAGCAAATCCCATTTAAATCCAAGAATGATACTGTGTACAAAAATTAAGAAAAATATGCAAAGTCTCAGCAAAATCGTGAACTTTTTAATACGAATTTCTAAAAAGAATTCAGGTATGCAGTTTTATAGCGCATTAAATTCTAGTACAATCATCTGCAAATTCCAGATGTCTAAAAATTCGCATTGATCTTTGAGAATTTTTTTGCTGGCTGTCCTAAGCTTTTTATATGAAAAAAATTCTGAAAATTTTTTATATGAAAAAAAATGCGTAAGACATTCGGCAAAAAAAATTCTCAAAAATCAACGCAATTTTTAGAGATTTGAAATTTACACATTAGTAAACTACTAGAATGGGCTACCAAACTCCATATCTGATATCTATTTAGAAATTCGTATTAAAAAGTTCGATTTTGCTGAAAATTTGCAGAGTTTTCTTAATTTTTGTACACAGTATTATTCTTGGACTTACATGGAGTTAGCTTAAATATAAGCCATATTTTAATACAAAATTAACAAAAATTTTTTAGCATGTATAACATTGCGTATATTAACAAAAAAGAGCCGTACGCTCAGTACGTAACTGTATGTATAATGATATTGTACATTGCATTAAAGTTTTTAAATAACACGGTGCTACAGTGAAAATTAACTTTTTAAGTGACCTAGCAGAGATCGCAGATTTGGTCGAGTAGTTTACAAAAATCTAAATTTATTCTTAAAAAAAAAAAAACAATTTGGCACGACCTCACTTACAAATCAAGGTTTAGTTCCCTTAACTTTGTAGCAATTTTAAATTTTATATTAAAATATTTTGACCGAAACGGTTAGGGCTTTTAAACTTTTATGTGTATTTACTTATGCTTAAACTTTAAAAATACCAGCTCCATTTCATGCCTTAATAAACACAAACACACAATTTGCACACACACGTATTTAATAAATTATGCAAATATTTTCGCATGTTCCACCAAAAACAGCTAAAACTAACCAACATTTTAGATGAAATGAGATGTGCAGAAAATATGTATGTATCTATGTTTATTAACTCGCCGCAATATTTATGTATATTAAATATTTACATACAATTTTAGAGTTTGTAGTAGTATAACATGTAATACAAGTAAGTAGTATGAGGTAATAAATAAAACAATTAGTAGGTTGTATATATGTTTGTGTAATTCTGTGTTTTGAAGCTTTGAGAGCAAACCGCAAAAACACAACACACATATTTGCATTTTTTTAGTGTTTATATAAAAATAATTTTCAGTATTAATATTTATGAAGTGAAATCGCAATACATCTACAAAATTTATGTGTACACTGAGATTTTTTGAAATGAAGTTAAAAAGTACACATTTATTTTTATTGTACGATTGGTGAATGCAAGTTTTTAACAACAAGTGACCACGCCTTGATTTNTTTTTTTTTTGGAATTTTTCTACAAAAACACCGTCCAGGCTTTAACCAAAACCATATAACTCACAGTGTCAAATTTTAGATAAAATTTAGGAAATTTCAACAAATATACAATTTTAGTCCAATGAAGTGATTTTTGAGAATTTTTTTGTTTAGACTGTTTTTGCGTTTTTTTTTATATAAAAAAGTGCAATTTACCAAAACTGGCACCGATTTTTTGAAATTTTGTTGCGAACGCTCTCTCGCATTTAGTGCAAAAATCTTATTAGATTAAAATTTTATGGGCTATAAAACTCCATAAATGTTCTAAAGATTCCGATTTAAGAGCTAAACTTTTGGTGGAAATTTGTTGCATTTTGTTAACTTTTTTTATACCCGAGCGCACTTGTGCACAAGGGTATTATAACTTTGTTCACATAACGGTTGTTTGTAACAGGCAAAACGAATCGAGATAGATATAGACAAATGTATACA